TTTCTTCTCTCTCGAATAATTAGCGTTAGATTTTTCTAATCGGCTTACTCTTATCTATAAAGTGTCCCAGAAAGTCAATATTTTCATTCAGTTCCGAGCTAGCAGCCGTTGCGAGTGTATACTTGCACGACTGCGACCCACCCGGACATATTGAGCAATCTTATTGCGATTTTCATTGCGATAGATTGGTTGTTTGACATCTACGATGGCGAAAATTGAGAAGCTTGCTAACCAGCTGAAGGAGAAGAAAGATGCTTTCGCCCTGCTGGCAGAGCAAATGCGAAACCTGCAAGAAGCCTTCTTGCAGGCACAACAGGAGATCGAGGACCTGAACGGGAAGCTCCGCAGGGCCAAGAAGAAGGCCGCAAAGAAGACCGAAGAAGACGAGGAAGAGGACCACCAGGCTACGTCGGACGAGATGGACGCGCAAGAAGAGGACACCCAACGGACCGAAGAGGATAGGACCACGACAGGGACAGCAAACAACGACGTCACCGATTTCAGTGTCGCCACCAGACGGAGGAAGCGGGTGCGAGTTTCCTCCTCCGAAGACGAGTCGCCAAGGCAGCCAAAGATGCCAGCTGCCGCCACCAAGAAGAGTCCTAGAGCAGCCAGGACCATCGTGTCCCCCCATCAGCATCAAGGGCACCGCTGACTGGTCATCCTTAAGCAGGATGATGAACAACAAGGGGATCCAATTCTCCAAGGCGAGGACGGCGGGTAACAGTGTGAAGGTGTTCACAAACACACCAGCTGACTACCGTCAGCTAGTCGCACTGCTGGACTCCATCAAGCGGCCCTTCTTTACCTATCAACTGAAGGAGGACAGGATGGACCAGAGGATCATTCGTGGACTACCTAGGGAGATGTCAATCGATGACGTCAAAGAGGATCTAGTGAGCCAAGGTATCGCAGACGCCGAGGTTCAGCAGATGACCTCAAGGACCACCAAGAACCCACTTCCGATCTTCCTCGTCAAGACGAAGATGCCGGAAAAGCTTCTAGAGATCCAGAGGCTGGCCATGCTCATGGTCAGCTTCGAGAGAAAGAAGAGATCCACCGAGCCCAGCCAATGCTACCGCTACCAGCGGTACGGGCACACGCAGCGGAACTGCCGTCTCGCTGAACGGTGCGTAAAGTGTGGTGAGGACCACAGCAGTACCAACTGCAGTCTGCCGACGCCGCCAACAGGGCAACGAAATACCAAATGCTGCCTTTGCGGAGAAGGACACCCAGCAAACTACAAAGGATGTAGTAAGGCCCCGAGGAAAGCTGCTGCTGCCCCCAAAGCAGTCCCCACCACAAATAGGACCTCTTACGCTCAAAAAGCGAAGAAAACTATGTCCACTTCTGCCCCAGCAGTCGCCACTGCTACTGGAACTATTGCGCAGAAGCAACACGGCGATGAGAGACTGCTAGCAATGATGCAAGCCATCATAACCCGCCTGGATGCACTCGAGGCCATGATGCAAGACAAGCATTAGACCCGAAATGACTACAGGGCAAAACGTAGAATCTCTACGCATTATCTCCTGGAACATCAACGGATTCAGGGCACGGAAACCAGAAATCCAGGAGATACTAGGCCAGTACCAACCAGAGGTGATGGCCATCCAAGAAATGAAATTGGATGCTGCCCATAGTCTGACGTTCCCGCGATACGAGACGTACCGCTACGACAGAAGAGGCAGAGGTGGAAGAGTCGCATTACTCGTCAAACGTACCTTGACGAGTCATGTCCTCGACGATGCCACAGACATCAATGGGGACGGAATCACGGTCCAGGTCCATCACAACCACCGTCCCTACAGAATCACCTCCCTATATGTGCCACCAGGGGAGGCCCTAGACGAAGATGACATCGCTGACCTCCTGAGAGGCCCAGGAGCACGCATAGTCATCGGAGATCTAAACTGCAAGTCTCCGGCATGGAACAACAACGTCGAAGACAGGAATGCAAGGCAGCTCCAAGAACACGTCGATGCCCTGGCGGGGGTCATCGTCGGTCCGGAGTAACCAACCTACATTCCATTCGGCCTCGGGCGACCTGCGGTACTGGACATAGCCATCCTCCGCAACATCAGAGAGGAGTTCGAGATAGAGACCCTGGTGGAAGGATCGTCGGACCACAAACCGATCTTACTAACACTTGGCACAGGGTCTAGAGCTCGAGATAGCTTGAGCACCAAACGGACGAACTGGAACCTCTACAAATCCAACGTCCAAAGGAACATCACTCAAATTCCAATCATCCGATCAGCGGAGGAACTGGACAACGCAGTAGAGGAGCTGGAGAATGCTGTCCTGCAAGCGCACGAGGACAGCACCCGCTCCGAGACTACGGCAGTTCCTAGACACCTAAATGGTCCAGCACCATATTAGGCACCTGATCAGGGAGAACAGAAGACTCAAGCGAGAACATCTCCAGCTGTTGATAGAGGAGTCGAGAGTTGCGCGAAACACTCGCGGAACTCCAAAACAGCAGATGGAATGCAGCCTGTGCAGAACTAGAGACCCAGGATGGTACGGCCTGGACTATGCAGCGAAAATTTCGTCGTCAGCGCACCACGATCCCCACTCTTCACGGCCAACGCGGCTTGGCCTACTCCAGTGAAGAAAAAGCCGAAGCATTCGCCGATTCGCTAGAATCCGAATGCAGACTCAATTACCATGAAGACGAGGACGACAACCACGAGGAGGCCGTGGAAGTCGCAGCCGAAATCATGAGGAGTCGACCACCTGGCCAGGAGACGGATCACCCCTCCAGTCCAGAGGAAATCCGTCTGATCATCCGCAGGTTGAAGGTCAGAAAGGCGCCGGGAAGGGACGGCATCAACAACAGGATGCTGAAGAACCTTCCCTCCAAAGGCATTGCTGCGCTCGCCAACATCGCCAATGCCACTCTGAGACTTAACCACTTCCCGCGGCGGTGGCGGGAAGCCCAGGTTATAATGCTCACCAAGCCAGGCAAGGACCGGAAGTTGCCCCAGAACTACCGGCCCATCAGCCTGGTTTCCTCGATGGGCAAAGTAGTCGAAAAGGCTATCGCCGTTCGACTAGAGAAGCAGGCAGAAGAACTGCAACTTCTCCCCCAGAGCAATTCGGCTTCAGATCCTCCCACAACACGGAACTCCAAGCGCTACGACTGACAGAAAACATCACCAGCGGCTTCAATCTCCAGGAGGCAACCGGCCTCGTCCTGCTGGACGTGGAACGAGCCTTCGACCGAGTTTGGCATGATGGACTCATCGCCAAAATGGAAGTCGCCGGAATCGATGCGAACATGTGCCAACTGATCCAGAGCTATCTAACACAATGATGGTTCACGGTGAAGATTGGTACATGCCATTCAACAAGACGACAGCTGGAAGCAGGCGTGCCCCAGGGGTCAGCCTTAGCCCCCCTGCTCTACAACATCTATACTCACGACGTACCGAAGACAGCAGACACAATGCTGGCCCTATATGCAGACGACACTGCTATAGCCGCCAAGCATCGACGACCCGAGATCATCCGTAGGAGAATACAGGATGAACTGGACCACATCCAGGACTAGTGCGTGAAATGGAAAATACGCATCAACGTCCAGAAGACGCAGGCAATCTTCATCCAACGAAGAAGGATTGCAAGACCTCTCGAAGCATCCATCTTCGACGAAGATATCCAGTGGAGCGACAAAGTCAAATATCTGGGGATCGTATTTGACAAGTCCCTCACCTGGAAAGCCCACATAGAAGCTGTCATCGCAAAGACCAGAGCAGCCATGGCTCAACTCTACCCATTACTGGGTAGACACAGCCGGATGCCGCTAGCGACCAAGCTACGGCTGATCAAGGCCATCGTCAGACCTCAGCTCGCTTACGCCTCCGCGGTCTAGGGGTACGCTGCCCCCAGCTACCGCAAGCGACTTGCTGCTCTAGAGATGAAGCTACTCCGGATCGCCACCAGTGCACCATCCTACGTAAGAAACTCAACCTTGCGTAGAGACCTGCATTGGGACACCATTCACGAGTACATGAGGAAAAAAGCGGAGAAGACCTTCCAGAAAGCTCAGGACCATCCGAACGAGCAGCTACGACTCCTCATGGACTACGATCCGGACGAGAGGCCTCGCCACCGCAGAACCAGGTACCCTAGACCCAAGTCACAGTTGGCACCCTCTAACTGGAACCTTGACTAGGAGACTAGGAGAACCCGCGGTTGCTCCCTCCCCCCACGGCGTGGCTGCAGGGGACCAGGAACCACCGGGACCAGGACCCATCGGGACCAGGGCCCACCGGAACCAGGACCCACCAGGACCCGCCACGACAAGGACCCACCAGGACCAGGACCCATCAGGACCAAGACAGGAACAATACATAGGTAAGAGGACTTGAAACTCTTGATTTTTCGAAAACAAGAGTTTCAAGAGAACATAGCAAACCCTCTACCAATGCTCGCTTAACGACATCGATAGAACTGTGCGAGGTAAAGGGAACCAACCCGGCGTTCCCAGAGACTGAAACACATGAGGAGACGTTGTAGCAGACCGCAGGTCACGCACAACACATGGCCTACCGAGACGCTGATGAGTCGGGCCACGCGGAGGTTAGGGTTTAGTGGGTATTAGGTGGTCTCCTCAAGACAACCTGGAGTCCCACACACGCCGTAGCTCGGGCTATGGTATGGTGCATAAACGCATTCACCCCTCACAAAAAAAAATACCCTTTTCATAAAATGTGTATAAGTTGAATTTATATGATGTATTGGCAACTAGTTCTATGGTGACAGCAGTTGTGAGGCATTTTTGAGCAAGTGTGTCGAAACTATTAATTTTTGTAGAGAACCAAAAACTATTAACAGGAAACCTTTGTGACTTATCCATTGTTAATGTTTTTTGTTAATTAATGGGTTTTTCTCCCTTTTTGGGATTGCTTCGTAATGATTATCAAGGAAATAAAAATCGATTTATTTCAACATTATATTTTGGAATGTCAAAGATACATATTTTTTTGAAAATACAACACCCTAACTAAATACAAATAGTCAACATTTTGATTTACTGGAATAACAAACAAGGCACCCAAATATTACAATACGATGAAAGGTATATTTACAAGTATACTTAACATTTAGAAAAAAGGTTATAATACAAAATATTCTTTGGTTTCTTCAGCTGTATGAAGTTTTACTGAGAACTTTCGAAAAGCATTTTCAAAAATTCGCCAGTAAAACTGAGTACAAAGTGCAATATATGGAACAGTGGATTTTTTTTACAAAATTTTGTACAAACAGAAACATCCGAAGGATTTTTCGAAATATGTGAATGTTTTTTAAGTACTTGCACTTTTGTAGTTGGATGGTAACACGTACGTTTTCAAGAATATTCTTAGACTAGACTGGTCATGCGTCCCAAAAATAAATTTTACAAAAAGAGTTAGAGCAATTTTTGAATTTCGAGAATCCTGCGTCAAAAAATATTTCATATCGATAGAAAAAATACACAACCATTATTGAATTCCTTGGTGTGTATACAGGACGTTTCAAGAACGGTGGCAACATTTTCAGTTCATTGATTAACTGATTCTCGATTCTCAAAAAACTTCAACTCTACGTTTTGATCTAATTTTTACAATTTACAATATTCAAAGGGTACCAAAAAATTATTTACAAAAGTACCTAGATCTTTCAGTTATCGATACCAATTTTGACATTTGTATAAGCGTAAACTTGCTTTGGTAAATTTTGGACGGATTCGATTACAAAGAATGTCAATACGTTTCACATGGCACCCAAAAAGACACGGGTTTCATAATGGCACTTTTCGGGATTTATAGCATTTTTCAAAATTGCGATTTTTGAGATCTTATTTCAAACCTTTACGGTTTGTATCTAAACTTATGCTTCAGATAGATCGCAACTACCACAGGCTGAACCTCTCTTGCGTCATTTGATATTGTGACCTCAACCCTAGCTGACCTCATGCTAGAGGTAACTTGGTACCGATGCAAGACCCGCGAGGTCAAGGACAGTAGTCCTTTTGTTGCAATGGATTAACATCCGAATGGACCTCATTGCTAGCTGTTGCTGCTACTTGTGACGTCTTAAGTGAGGTTATTTAGTCGTTGATGTGCCTCTAAGGTCAAGGCGTTATTGAGCTCTTCCTCCCAGATGCTTCTGCTACTAGCGACGTCATATTTGAGGTCATCACATCAATCGAAGGCATGTGATGTCAATGGCAGTGGTGCTTTCGCAGCCAATGCACGCCTGTACCTCAATTCAAGCTAATACTGCTACTTGTGACCTCACGCTTAAGGTCATCAGGTCAACGAAAGGCCTGTGAGGTCCGTGAGAATGGTCCTTTTAATGTCTATGGATGCTCGGACCCTACTTGGGTGCTGTTGCTACTAATGACCTCATGATAATGGTCAACAGGTGGATGGAACGCTCGAAAGGTCAATGAGAATAGTCCTTTTGGTCTATATGGATACTTAGGTATTGCCGCTACCAACGACCTGACGATAGAGGTCAATAGGAGGGTGGAATACTCGTAAGCAATTATTGCTATTAATGACCTCAATATTGAAGTCATTTGGTCGATTTATGATCTGCGAGGTCAAGGATAGGACTTTTTTGGTGCATAAAGATACTAGGACCTCACTCCTAACTATGCTGTGACCTCATGTATGAGGTCATTTAGGCGACTGAAGAGATATGAAGTCAAATTCAACACCCTCCCGCCACCATGTGTTGTACAGACCTGAATCCTAGCCACTACTGCTACTGCATGTCTATATTGTGACTTCATTCCTAGCTATTTTAGCTACTGTTGATCTCATGAGGTCATCTGGTTGATGCAAGGTCTGTGAGGTCATTGAGAGCAATTTTTTTGGTGCAGATGGTTACTGGGATCTCACACCTACCTACTATTGAACTCATGTTTGAGGTCATTTGGTCGAAGGAAGAGCTGTGAGGTCAACAACAGTCCTTTTGGTGCATACGTGCGCTGTGACTTGCTTCCTAGCTATTTTAGCTACTGTTAACCTCATGATTGAGGTCATTCGATTGATGTAAGATCATCGCGAGCAGCTCTTTTGGGGCAGATGGTTATTGCGGTCTCACTCCTAGCTACTACTGACCTCATGTTTAAGGTCGTCTGGTCGATTGAATTGCTGTGAGGTCAACAAGAGTAGTCCTGTTGGTGTATATGTATGCTGTGACCTCATTCGTAGCTGTTTTAGCTATTGTCGACCTCTTGATTGAGGTCATTCGGTCGATGTAAGGTCGTTGAGAGCAGTTCGTTTGGTGCGTATGGTTGCTGGAACCTCACTCCTAGCTGCTACTGCTACTAGTGACCTCGTGTTTGATGTCATCTGGTCGAAGGAAGGGCTGTGAGGTCAACGAGAGCAGTCCTTCGGGTGCTGACGGATGTTGCGACTCGCGGTGCCTGCGTAAGTCCACTTTTCGTTGGAAGGCCTTCTCGCACAAGCCGCACGAAAAGGGCTTGTATCCAGTGTGTTTGCGCATATGCGTGATCAAGTTCGACGATTGGCTGAAGGCTTTTGAGCAGACCACGCATTTGTGGGGCTTCTCTCCTGGAACAAAGAAAGCAGATTGTTCATATACAATTTGTTTAAGAAGAGAGTAAAGTATATCAGGGTTATGTTTCAGTTTTGAAATTTTTTTGGAGTGCGGGGTAGCAGATTTTTTGGCTTCCACATGGCAGAGTACTGCGATATTTTGTCAACATAAAGACGTACTGCTAGATTCCAGGACATTTATTTCTTCAGGTCTTGTGTGTAATACGTTACTAATAAATCTAAAATTTTCCGTTTCATTTGAACAATATTACGATTGCCCCGCCAGTAATCCCAAGGCAGCTCGTAAAGTGTAGGAGCTCTATCGCAACAACAATAAATTATTATTGATAGCTAAAAGTACCTACTTTATATCAATCACCAGCATTCTCCATTATCTTTTGTGTTACTGTTATTACTGTATTTCTATACAGTGAAGCAATTACACATTTCTGTATGAAAAATATCAGTGGCGTAACATACAACAGAATATTCTCAGCAATTTTTACTACAAGCTTTTTTATCTTAAATGATTTACTTGGGGCTACATGTTAAACTAACGTCTGATTAGGAATTCACGCACCCGATTTATCAAGAAAATGGGTTTTTATAGAGTTCACAGATACGAAAGGATTTTTCAGAATATAGATTGGAACGCCTATGGACACAATATTTATGTCCGTTTTCCAATTGCTTATTTCGAATAATGAAAAGCGGATAATACTCTCTCTATAAATAATTAAAGCCAATTGCATTATTGTATGAACATTTATTTTATATGACAGGTGTCCCGGTACAATTGTTGTAATTACGACGCTTTCAACTGGTAATGAGAGTAAACCTTAGGGAATAGGAAAATTTAATTGCACATGTCATATAGGAAGTATAATATTTCCATTGTCCAATATACTCGTAGACTTAGGTAATATATATTATAACCTGCCACAATAAATCAGGTGCTAGCATTCTGTCGGGTTCTCCTGCCCAAAGTGTGAGTCTCTACAGTAATGTGTCATGCCTTAGCCGGTCTGGTACCGATATGTTGTTTCTCATTTATATGTCTTACTTTTCCAGTCTCATGTAAAGTTTCATCCTTGTCCAATATCAGTTGAATTCTCATTAAAACCTGGCATGCTTATTAACAGATCTCGATGTCAATCGAACGCGGTAAAGTAGGACATGACTATTAGCGACTATCATACGATATGTTCTGCTAATAAAAGCAAAAGCTGTACGCCTTTCCAGTTATGAGTTATGATTATCCTTGTTTCTGTAAACAATCATTCGCCTCTTTCGTAGTCATTTATTCATAACAGAGCCGCAATTAGTATCATTTTTCTGTACTTTGCGATAATAGCATTGTCGACAGACAAGTCGATGCAATTTTGATATAGTGGCTTACAGCATTATTGCCCGTTTCTAGGGTTTCGCTACCAAACAGGTGCTCTTACACAATTTCCAACAGTGTATAAGACATTGTGGAATTCTCTATTGGAAATTGTGTATAAATTGAATTTATATGACGCCTTTGCACTCTCACACAATTCCTAATACAAAATTGTGTATTTGAGGTTCTGGTGGTGAAATTGGTACTCTTACACAATTTCCAACAGTGAATAAGACTATGTATTAGAAATTGTGGAATTCCCTATTGGAAATTGCGTATAAATTGAATTTATATGACGCCCTTGCACTCTTACACAATTTCTAATTGGAAATTATGTACTTGAGGTTTTGGTGGAGAAACTGGTACTCTTACACAATTTCCAACAGGGAATAAGAAAGTGTGTATTAGAAATTGTGGAATTCCCTATTGGAAATTGTGAATAAATTGAATTTATATGACGCCCTGACTCTTACACAATTCCTAATTAGAAATTGTGTACTTGAGGTTTTGGTGGTGAAACTGGTACTCTTACACAATTTCCAACAGTATATGAGACATTGCGTATTAGAAATTGTAGAATTCCCTATTGGAAATTGTGAATAAATTGAATTTATATGACGCCTTGGCTCTTACACAATTCCTAATTGGAAATTGTGTACTTGAGGTTTTGGTGGTGAAACGGGTACTCTTACACAATTTCTAACAGGCAATAAGAAAGTGTATTAGAAATTGTGGAATTCCCTATTGGAAATTGTGTATAAATTGAATTTATATGACGCCCTGGTACTCTTTCACAATTCCTAATTGAAAATTGTGTACTTGAGGTTTTGGTGGTGAAACTGGTACTCTGACTTTGTGAAATGAAGAAGAGCACTCGTCAATTACTATCGTAATATCTTGTCGCTTCAGTGAAAAAAAGTGTGTTCAAAACTTTTTTCTGCTCTTTAACACAAATACAGATCGAATTGATCCGAAATGTTTCGCCTATTGACATGGCGAGCAAAAGGGCTGCCATCGAAGTGAATTTCTCCTGTATCGGAGCTACAGATATCGTACACAATGCCAAATGCATCATTCATCACGACGACTTGGCATTTCTTTGATCATGCTGACATACTTTTTCCGCGCTCTTAAAGAAATAATGCCGGAACAGCCGTCGGTCGTTTATATTTTCATAGACGCCCCATTTATTATGCCACTTACTCGAGATATGTTCTTTGACTCCGATACGAGCACCTTGTCATCAAATCAATTGCTTGTTAATAATGTATGTGAAAATTACACGAGAAAGGGTTCAACGTTGAAATCTGAAGGAAGCCATCGTAGTATAGGCGCTCGGATAAATGTTTCATACACCTACTGTATAGTCGGATCTATTTATCTATGAGAAAGGTATCGCCCAATGCGAATACAGAGACAAATAAACGAGTAAAGTAAGGAATAGGCATCCACGGTTCACATTTTGGGCTACAGTAGCTTAATAGCTTCATGTAAGCGAAGCGTTTTGTTGTTGACGGTCTCTTGTCGTGTAGTCTGTATGTAAATGACGCCATTGTCTCGCTACTTTTACTTACTTACTTGTTAGGTTTGTCCCACTTCCTTTCGTTAGGTTTGCCGTACTTTTGTCCGTTAGGTTTGTCCCACTTTTATCGTCAGGCTTGTCCCACTTTTTTGTTTAGGTTTGTCCCAATTTTTTGTTAGGTCTGTAACACTTCTTTTCGTTGGCCTGTTCCACTTCTTTTCACTAGGTTTGACACATTTCTTTTCGTTGGGTTTGTTCCATTTTTTTTTCGTTAGGTTTGTCCCACGTTTTGTCGTTAGGTTTGTCCCACTTTTTTTCGTTAGATTTGTGCCCACTTCTTCTTGTTAGGTTTGTCCCACTTTCTTTCGTTAGGTTTGTCGCACTTATGTCCGTTAGGTTTGTCCCACTTTTTTTGTTAGGTTTGTCCCATTTTTTTCTTTAGGTTTGTCCTACTTTTTTCTTTAGGTTTGTCCCACTTTTTTCGTTAGATTTGTGCCTTTTTTCTTTTTAGGTTTGTCCCACTTTCTTTCGTTAGGTTTGCCGCACTTATGTCCGTTAGGTTTGTCCCACTTTTTTTGTTAGGTTTGTCCCACTTTTTTCTGTAGGTTTGTCCCACCCTTTTCTTTAGGTTTGTCCCACTTTTTTTGTTAGGTTTGTAACAATTCTTTTCGCTAGGTTTGTCCCATTTGTTTTCGTTAGGTTTGTCCCACTTTTTTCTTTAGGTTTGTCCCACTTTTTTCTTTAGGTCTGTCTCACTTTTTTTATTAGGTTTGTAACAATTCTTTTCGTTAGGCTTACCCCACTTCTTTTCGCTAGGTTTGTCCCATTTGTTTTCGTTAGGTTCATCCCACTATTTTGTCGTTAGGTTTGTCCCACTTTTTTTCGTTAGATTTGTGCCACTGCTTCTTTTTAGGTTTGTCCCACTTTCTTTCGTTAGGTTTGCCGCACTTATGTCCGTTAGGTTTGTCCCACTTTTTTGTTAGGTTTGTCCCACTTTTTTCTTTAGGTTTGTCCCACTTTTTTCTACATTCCATTCGGCCTTGGGCGACCTGCGGTACTGGACATAGCCATCCTCCGCAACATCAGAGAGGAGTTCGAGATAGAGACCCTGGTGGAAGGATCGTCGGACCACAATCCGATCCTACTAACACTTGGCACAGGGTCTAGAACTCGAGATAGCTTGAGCACCAAACGGACGAACTGGAACCTGTACAAATCCAACGTCCAAAGGAACATCACTCAAATTCCAACCATCCGATCAGCGGAGGAACTGGACAACGCGGTAGAGGAGCTGGAGAATACTGTCCTGCGAGCGCACGAGGACAGCACCCGCTCCGAGACTACGGCAGTTCCTAGACACCTAAATGGTCCAGCACCGCACCATATTAGGCACCTGATCAGGGAGAACAGAAGACTCAAGCGAGAACATCTCCAGCTGTTGACAGAGGAGTCGAGAGTTGCGCGAAACAGAGCATCGCTAGCTCTGAAGAACGCACTCGCGGAACTCCAAAACAGCAGATGGAATGCAGCCTGTGCAGAACTAGAGACCCAGGATGGTACGGCCTGGACTATGCAGCGAAAATTTCGTCGTCAGCGCACCACGATCCCCACTCTTCACGGCCAACGCGGCTTGGCCTACTCCAGTGAAGAAAAAGCCGAAGCATTCGCCGATTCGCTAGAATCTGAATGCAGACTCAATTACCATGAAGACGAGGACGACAACCACGAGGAGGCCGTGGAAGTCGCAGCCGAAATCATGAGGAGTCGACCACCAGGCCAGGAGACGGATCACCCCTCCAGTCCAGAGGAAATCCGTCTGATCATCCGCAGGTTGAAGGTCAGAAAGGCGGCGGGAAGGGACGGCATCAACAACAGGATGCTGAAAAACCTTCCCTCCAAAGGCATTGCTGCGCTCACCAACATCGCCAATGCCACTTTGAGACTTAACCACTTCCCGCGGCGGTGGCGGGAAGCCCAGGTTATAATGCTCACCAAGCCAGGCAAGGACCGGAAGTTGCCCCAGAACTACCGGCCCATCAGCCTGGTTTCCTCGATGGGCAAAGTAGTCGAAAAGGCTATCGCCGTTCGACTAGAGAAGCAGGCAGAAGA